TAAATTCCTTTCTTGAAGAAACTCATAAATCTCATTTAGGAAACCCGTTGTATTTTGTTTTATCATATCAGGAACAGTACATTTCTTTCTTTGTCATTTTTATCACAAAATCTGCAAAGCTGATCAATAGATATCACGATGATGACTGACGAAGTAAGTCCAAATACGACAAATTAAACAAAAAAGGATGTGTGTGATACCAAATAAATCTGCATATTGTTGGTTTGCGTGCATGAACGCATTGATAATGTTATCTGGGCAAAGTTGTTCTTAAAGCATCGAGAAATCATCTGTTTAAGATTGAACAAATGTTTTATCATGATTGATGTTTTTTTTACATGTATATTTGCAAGTGAAAAAAGGCAAGTGGGGAAGTTAGATAGATGATGAAATTTAAATATGAGATTGTCGTCTTNATCATTTGCGTTGCATAAACGGGAAAATACGCACTTTCCATTGTGAAAAAAAAAAACGTTTATAGTATCGAATTTCCTTTAATCATTTATTGATCGGTGACGAAGCGTTGTATCTTTATGTTTTTAAGAAACGATTTCATTATTTGCACCAAGGACCGAAATCATTGTTAAACGCCTTGTGATGTTAAAGGTTATTTCACCGAGTTAAGCAACATACATTAAGCTTTATAAGGTATGTTAACAGTGAGACGATAGGTTTGAGGAAACCATTATAGCGCGCTAAATTAACTTAACAAGGCAGAAAACAAGGGACGCATTGATGCCTGCATCTTCTGTCTGTACTTACTGATAAGTGTGTTGGTATTGACCTTCAGAGAGAGAGAGAGAGAGAGAGAGAGAGAGAGAGAGAGAGAGGGAGAGGTAAAACGGACTAAAGATTGCACATGCTATTTTCCAATCTTCACATATCGGACGCCAAATGCCACTTTACCGTCAATCTTACACCTGCCCTATACCTATCTTTGCGACTACTTCAAACGAAATCTACAGAACATTATTCGATGTGGAAGCAAACAAAAAACCTTATGCTCTAGAGACAACGTTCATTGATGCGATAATCAATATTCAGTTGGCAGGGTAAGATCAGTCACTTGACAGCTTCTAAATGTCACGGTATGCGGAGCTATTCTTCACAACACGTTCAAACTACAGTCGTAATGCTACGGTGCAATATTGTCAATACAAACCACAGGATATGTAAAACAGACAAAGCACGGGATTAACAAAACGAAATAGTTGATAGTACAGGTTTTAACGTTTTGACAGCCCAAGCCATAGTTATTATTGACTTCATAGATTGGAAATATTGTTCTATCGACAAAAAATTTGCAGTTTCGTTTCGAACAGTGTCATGAAGAAAAATGTGTTATGAAGCTGTTTTGGGTGTATGTCATCGTCAAAATAAAGAACAGGTCACAATATAGGAGCTATGTCTGTAAAGGAAATTAAAGTCAAAACGCAATATCTTTTGTAATTAACCTGATTTTTTACGACTGAACTTAATGAGAGGTCGCCGTATTTCCGTCGTCTGCACCAAGAGTTGTCCACTCATATCTCTATGTCGTCAGTCTATCTCAAGTTCGTCCAAACACACATGTACATACTGATATTTTTAAAGTAATATTTGCACTTTTAACACGCTGAAAGGGGGCACAATGATCTACGGGGAATATACTGAACGTGTATGTGGATTCAGTGTAATAATCTTACGTTGATTCACAATGTTTATTGAAGACACTGTATAATATGGACACTGAATGTGATTGTTAATTCAGTATTGACACATTAAAATGAACAAATACGTTTTTTATTCGTCAATACAATCAATATTGGAACGAGGGATGGTGGTATTAAAAAGGATGTAAATATACAAACGAGCCTCTGTGTACTTATGTTGCTCGACGAGGGAAATGGAATGTAAATAAAAAGATTGTTGAATAAAGAGATTAAAATAAACAAAGTACAAAGGACTGATAATTTAATTCTTTTACACATAAGGGAATACACTTGTTCATTTTTATCTGAAAACTATTAAAATACCATACACGAAATGTTATAAGAAAGATATACGGGAGACGGTCGTCTCGTTGTGTTAGATGTGCCAAGTTTGCTATGTAGTAATGATGAATGCACCGCCACTAGCGGCGTAGTGGGGTATTTCCATTTTCTGTTATGGAAGTTGGATTGTGAACGTCAAAAAACCACAAACTAAGAAGATCCATTGTTGAAAGGACTGTATTGTAACTAGGGCCGGATTTAGAAATTACCATTTCCATCACCGTTACACATTTTTAAAAATCCTAATGATATATTCTTTTCATACATTCTTCTACTACGGTACTTTTTTTTTTCGTTTCTAAGTTTCTAAGTACCATCCAAATATAATATTTTTAGTTTTTATTTAATCCTTTACCATTTTACATATATTTTTATCTGGCGACTTGGTTTATTGCAATTAAGCGAGAATCCCCTTGGAGATAGTTCGATCCAAACTAGGGGCGATAGGGTCTGGGAATGGTCTCTAAATTAATGCTGACTATTTTACTTCCCCGCGCCGAGTGCATTTTTTCATATAAAAAAATGGCTCCAACAAAACCGCTTGAACGAATAATTCTGTGAGCGTAAATTACTCCCAACATGTAAGCACTTTCCTTTGTTGTCCGAAAAAGGTTCTTTCACTTCTAAAAGATCCTCCTTGGCGCCTGAACTCATAACTACCTACTCAAAATCCTTTGCTTTTATTATAAATTTTATTAACTTTTTTTTTTTTGCTAAAGTCTGTTTTAACCGCAAGACACTATTGGTATGTTATTGATTGTTATTTGTAGCTTGTGTCGCCCTTTTCCCAATACTTGCTTACCGGCCCCGCCATCTTAATTTTTGTTGAGTAATTTGAAATTTTAATGCCATTGCTAGGAAATGTTTTTTAATGTTTTTGGTGCGTTAAAAGACACCTGCCACCAGAAAAAGTAAAATTAATCAAATCGGCACTTCATAACTCTCTCGTTGCAGCAGTTAGTCACTTTATTTCAATTTCTCTCCCCAACAATAACTTTTGACAAATACCCACTCGTAATAAAATGAACTGAAAAAGACGTCCATGTTATTTCACCATACAGTAACCCAGAGGACAGTATATATTTAAAAAGTCATAGTACTTCAGTGTGTTAATGGCTTATTCAATATGAAGGAGGAACGTATTATGTAGACGATCATTACGACAATATTACCGAAGTCGCCTTATTACAGTGTAGATATCTATGACCCCATTTCCATAGATTTTAGATAGATCTATCCCTGTGGGGAGTCTCACTTAATTACTGTCAGCTTAGCCGGCTTAAGCGTCTGTCCCGCCTACTGAAAGCTGTAAGGGGGTAATTAACTATGGTGCGCGCTCGGCTGACTGCAATTTAGCGTGAACCCCCAGGGAGTTAGGTCGATCTAAATCTTAATCCCTGGATCGATCTAAATCTCTGGGAATACACCCTATGATACCAGCAATGTCACGGACTTGGGTGGGGGGGGGGAGGGGGAGCATGAACGGGAATGACCTGGGTCGGTCAGAAATGTGGCGTTTCTTTCGGCTGCGCGTCGACTAAAAAGTTTTTCTCTTTCCGGGTAACATCGGTATGTAAATGAAACAATAGGATGAGATTTTTACAGGTGTGAGTTTCAAATATCAAAATAATTACATGAAGGACAATTAACCAATTAGTAACTGCACTTTGATGCAAAATTGGAGCTCGACAACGAAGTGAACTGAACTGAACTCTGACGGCGTAGAGATACATATCAACGACCTGATTACCGACAGCATGCAGAATATGCTGATTATATCATTATGGTGATGCATTATTTTCTTCCGCTAACGCTCTGCTGGAGCGTACCCAGTTTCAAGCACACATTTCTACAAGTGCCTTTACATGGAATCTTGAGAGAAACCTTCACAGAAAATAATTTTAGGGTGAAGAAGTTGCACGCCTACGCCCTTGTAATTATTCCACTAAAAGCCGTCTTTATTAATGGAATAGTCGCATAGGAAACCAGTTACTGTATTATGCACGTACCTGGATGACATAAGAAAGAAACTCGAACTCGCACTGTATCTTAACGTACGTGTACGTACGGAGGTGAGAGGCGTAAGAAACTACCAGTTTTATCAGGTCTTCATCAAAGTTGTGACTGAACATGAAACCAGTAAAGTTCATCTGAGGTGAAAAGGCCGAAACAAGCATTCTCCAAAACTTGTCGAATACACTACAATCTTCGTGAAGAAATGGAAGCCAGGTTTAAGTCCTTCCTCGCGATCTGCGCCATTCTGCTCCCCGGTGAGTTACACGATGTTGTCTCGAAAAGAATCAGGTGGATAAAAACGAACATTGGAAATTGAGTCAGACTTCATCAGGGAATGAGGTTGTGACAGGTATGACTACCTGTCACCCCTCTGGTGTGCTTTTTGGTCAGATCCCCCCTTGCCTGCCCCTCCCTTAGGAGTGGTAGTCATACCTGGCCCGTAGCCAGGGGGGTTCGGGGGGTTCGAAAGAACCGCCCTTTTTGCTGGGAAAAGATCCACTCTGGGTAAAATTTGATGTAGGTATATGAAGTTTGTTATGGAAAAAGGTCCACTTTTTCAGAAAAAGAACCCCCTTATGAAATTGCTGGCAATGAAACTGTTCTACACAATATAGAGGTGCATTTCACATGCTAAAATATCAAATAATAAATAAATAAATAAATAAAATTGAATGTATTCGAAGCTGTATTCAATTTTTAAAACATATGTATGTATGGAACAAAAGTCCACGACTATCTCAATTGTACATCTACTTTTAATTTCCACCATGTATATACATTATGTAATGAGCATGCTGTATATGGTTAACAACGCCGTAGCAACGTCGTAGCCAATTAGTTCCAGCGTGGTTTGCTTGTCGCAGTTAGGATTGTTTGATAACGAGCGGATTGAGTAGCATCATAGCCAAGTACAGGCTGATAATTTTACTTCCTCGTGTCTAGGATCCAAAATAAAGAGGATAAGACAGTGGCTCAAACTTCAAAGGGAGTCTCCCGCGGCGCGCGTCTCATGATGCCTTCGGGTTGGTACGGCGAGCCTCGTTTTCAAATGACCAGGTAGCTTGTCTACGGCAGAGTGAAACGAAGGTCCCGCTTTAGTCGCGTTTTTTTCATTGTATCCGGAGAATTTCGTCAAAAGACAAGAGGAGCTGATTAAGGAATATGCAGTGAAGCACCGTGAGTATTTATATTGCAGTTTGTAGCTTCAATAGACAGTAATATCAATTTCAATATCCCCGTCCGTTAGATTTGCAAAGATGGCGGGCAAATTTACACTGCCGTGCATGTTTACGCTCTCGTTGTTATTTGGCGGATGCACTTTCCGAATATTTGTCAATGCAGAGTTATTCGGAGTACAGTTTTGATATGGCAACACCTTGTAATGTGGGAAACGAAATAAGTTGGATTGTAAAAAGAGCGTAGAAATAGTGCCCCCAACGCCAATAATGGCGGAGCGATAGTTCTGGGAGGTAGTTTACCTATACAAAAAAACTTTACATGGGACTGGCTTGCTAATTTTAAACCCACATCTATATTGTACGTTTTATAACAAAAGACGTTACGATGGATATTAGTGGATTAGAGTTTTTATTCCAGAGATATCAAGGACTTAAATTGCCTAATCACTCTAAATTCAACATGGCCGAACGATGTAACGCCGCGGGCCCCTTCTTTTAGATACAAATGCACACAATTATAACTGATATGTCTCATTTTAAACCTGCATCTATATTGTATGTTTTGGGACAAAAGACGTTACGATGGATATTAGTGGATTAGAGTTTTTATTCCAGAGATATCAAGGACTTAAATTGCCTAATCACTCTAAATTCAACATGGCCGAACGATGTAACGCCGCGGACCCCTTCTTTTAGATACAAATGCACACAAATATAACTGATATGTCTCATTTTAAACCTGCATCTATATTGTATGTTTTGGGACAAAAGACGTTACGATGGATATTAGTGGATTAGAGTTTTTATTCCAGAGATATCAAGGACTTAAATTGCCTAATCACTCTAATTTCAACATGGCCGAACGATGTAACGCCGCGGGCCCCTTCTTTTAGATACAAATGCACACAATTATAACTGATATGTCTCATTTTAAACCTGCATCTATATTGTATGTTTTGGGACAAAAGACGTTACGATGGATATTAGTGGATTAGAGTTTTTATTCCAGAGATATCAAGGACTTAAATTGCCTAATCACTCTAAATTCAACATGGCCGAACGATGTAACGCCGCGGACCCCTTCTTTTAGATACAAATGCACACAATTATAACTGATATGTCTCATTTTAAACCTGCATCTATATTGTATGTTTTGGGACAAAAGACGTTACGATGGATATTAGTGGATTAGAGTTTTTATTCCAGAGATATCAAGGACTTAAATTGCCTAATCACTCTAAATTCAACATGGCCGAACGATGTAACGCCGCGGACCCCTTCTTTTAGATACAAATGCACACAAATATAACTGATATGTCTCATTTTAAACCTGCATCTATATTGTATGTTTTGGGACAAAAGACGTTACGATGGATATTAGTGGATTAGAGTTTTTATTCCAGAGATATCAAGGACTTAAATTGCCTAATCACTCTAATGTCAACCTGGCTGAATGGTAAAAAACATGACCTTTTTCTTCATAAAAACATATATGTTATTTATTTTTTAACAATGTGGTCCAGAGTTAGTATAACACTGACTGGTCGGGTACATAGTAATACATATTTCTTTCCTCAGATGCCAATTAAAAAGAGAAAGAAGATAGGCAAGAAGGTTAAGAATGCCCAGGCCAAGAAATATGGTAAATCAGCAAAGATTTCCAAAGACACAACTACGTATCCAGGGACAAATGACAACAGTGGTAAAGGTTTTTGCATTGTGTATTATACAAATAACCAGGTGAATTTTATAAATGAAACAAAATGTTGCTGTTATATTCTTATTTAATCTGCCAGCTTGCAACCAGAGTCTTTAATTTTGGAATGCTGTGAATGTGGTGTATATTATTATTATCATCTTAGATGCCTGTAACATTAAGTTATTTATGATTATTATTAAAACTGGAGTTCTAAATGTTTCTTTCTTATGCAGAATGTGTCGTGTCACGTCAACAGTTCATTGACTCTGAGGATGACATGCCTTTGAGCAGTCTGAAAGATGTTTCTTCTGACAACTCAGAGACTCAACAGTCAAATGGTAAGTGATTGATACAATGGATTGGTTTATTTTAATTAATAAAGTGGTTAACATTAATTTATTTGGTATTTTTAAAACTGGAGTTCTAAATGTTCCTTTCTTATGCAGAATGTGCAGTGTCAAGTCAACAATCTAGTGAACCTGAGGATGACATGTCTTTAAGCAGCCTGAAGGATGTTTCTTCTGACAACTCAGAGACTCAACAGTCACATGGTGAGAATCTTATACAATGAATTGCTTCGTTTTCATCTACTTTGTTCCCTACAACATGAAATTCATGAAGTGTTAGTCAGTTACATTAGTTCACTTATGAATAATCTTAAGGTGCCATTTAAATAGTTTTATATTTAAGGATATTCTATAGAATTTTCCAGTGACACCTTTATAAATTTTATTGTTTCCAATAACACATATTTTCATTTTTCATTTAGGGTCCAGTATACCAACATTTTTTGACAGTCTGCAAACCTGTGCCACTGGGGATTGGCACTTCATGAAGGGTCCATGTAAAGTGCATCTTTACAAGATGGTGTTCTTTTTTTTTTTTAAACTCTATAAGCCATGATTAATACATAAATGGTGTTGTGGTGACAATTTTGTTGATCATAAATGAAATGTTTTGAAGTTTTTTGGGGTTTCAATTTGTTGATAAACTTAGATAAGTAAATGTGTACAGGTTACATTTAACAGGCTGCATCTTATTGGGAAATTACAGTGATGAATTGCATGAACAAGTGAATTCGTTTAATAAACTTATTTGAACTGTACATCTGGATTTTTTTCACTTAGTGTTTAGGGGGAGAGAGAACTTTCAAGGGATATTAACTGTTCATTTTGGCCAAAAAATGGCTTTTCCTGGGGTAAAGGACAATTAACCCGTGCTAACCAATGGTTTGTGAATTCATTCTGACATTCAAAGTTAGTCCCTGATTTTTTTTCTAAAAGTTTTCTTTTTGTAGTATTTTCTTAAGAGATTATTACAGAGTGCAGACATCTATGGAGAACACACAAAGTGATGGCAAGCATAGATTTCAGAATAATTTGATTAACCGCTGTTGTTGTGGTATAATAGCATTTATTTTATTTCTATGATCAATGCATTCATTGTGAAATTTGGATCTCTTAGACAGTTAAATGACAGTACAACGCAACAGAAAAATGCAACAAACCCAATGTCTATTCAATCTATCAAATTACACAAGAAATCTGAGTTGAGTGTAAAAAGAGTGCTAAAGAATTTCCTTTACAAGATACAGTAACTATTTACTAACAAATCATCTACTTAACACGCCCTAAATAATTTCCAATTTTTAAGTCACCAGCATTGTTGAACATCATTGGTGAAATAGCTTATCTGTATGTTGTGATCTATTAAGTACGTTCTGTTAATTATCTAAAGTTTGTTTGTCACAGCGACACTCCGAGCTTGGCCTTCGCCGACAATTTGCTGTTATTGTCCTTCTTGGAATCTTCTAACAAAAACATATTTTACGTACAATAATGTAACATGATACGAAGTGAACACTTCATGTCGCATAGATAATTCAAAAATCGCCGGAACGACTGGCAAAACCAATGCACATTGTCATCTATTTCATGTCTGCGTGTTACAATTACCTGTTATAGCCCTTTTTTCTTCTTGTCTGAAAGCATGCTGTTCTTCATAATATTCCAGTGACAACTTTATTTTTTGTTAAACACAATATCAAAAAAGAACGTTATGGTATACAGACCCATTTTTTAATACTTCCTGCAATATTTAACGTTAAAACATTTCACGAAATCAACCGCGTTTTGAAACTTACAACCAACATGGCGGACGGGAACGTAGCAACCGCGAGAATATACGGTAATGTGCGATAACTGCCTGTGCACGCTTCGTCACGCTAGCCTGACCACACGCTGTCTAAGCTATCAAAACAGCTTAACTAGACAATAGGGGAATGTTTACCCGAAGGTATCATGGTTCAAAGGCGATTTGCCGCTTTCTTATCCTCTTTATTTTGGATCCTAGCTCGTGTCAAGCTCGTTTTGGCAAATATAAAGACGGCTCCAATAAAACCGCAGAACCGAGTGAATACTTTTGTTAACTGAAATAAACACTTCCCACACAAAAATACTTTCTTTTGTAATCTAGAAAAAGGTTCTGTCATTTATGGGGTTTCCTCTTTATTTGCCCTTTGTTTAACGTGTGTAGGCACCTCAACTCAGAGACACCCTGCCAAAATTCCTGGTCTTTTTTACAGTCGAATGTCGTAGCTTCTATACACTGCTGACATGATCATTATTGAAATTAGTCGCTTATGCCCCCCCCCCCCCCCTTTTTTATTTGAAAAGGCGTGTAATAAGCAGACCCGCCGTCGCAATTTTTAAAATAGAAAATTGAAATAAAATTGGAATTCCAAATACAATTGCTTGGAAATGTTTTGTTCTTGTGAAAAGACGAACATTATTACAATGTCCATGACAGATTGAAAACAGTCATTTCATTTGATGTGCGATAACACGGTAGTAACCAGACAAAGTAAAATAAATCTACTTGGCACTGCATAACTCCCCTGATGCAGTATAAGTCGCTTCATTTTAATTTCACTCCCCACCAGTGCAATCTAAAAAAAATCGCTCGTTATACAACGAACTAAGAGAGACGTCCATGCCATGACTTAGTGCAAAGAATACGTCTTGACAAGCCGATACCAATTATTTTACGTAACAATACAGCCACAACGCGTGACTCTGCCAAGAAGAAAAATTAGATTTATGCGGCCAAATGCTCATTAGCACAACGAAGCTCTGCTTTTGCTCAAAGGTAAATAAGATAAAGCCCATATGACTGAAAACCGTCATTTATGAATAACGAAAAATAATAAGATACAAAGTGACAAAAATGGGGGGATAATCATACTCCCTCATACTATATAAGAGCTATAATATAAAATTAAGGAAGATTAATTAAGAAAAATATTGGAACAATTGGAGAAAAAAGTTGGCACAAGTTCACATTGACGAGCATCTTATTTTTTTCTGTTGGAAGACCGTCAAACATGAAGGATGGATCAACAAAGATAATTTAAAAGACTATCTCTGGATCCGCCCCTGCAAAACAACGATTACAATTGCCATAAATCAGATGAATGGAAAAAAGACTCGATATTTTATTGAGAAATATGTTTTACAAGTAATATCGGTCATTATCGGATCAATCTTGAGATTCCAGGTACGATTAAATGTGGCACAACAATAATCAAAAGAAAATAAGTTTTTAAATAATTAAAGTCAGTTATTATTATTATCAACTCGGCGCTGCGAAGCTCCTTCGATGCAGTCTACTTCACTTCATTTTAATATCCCTCCCCTGCAGCACAATCTAAAAAAAATCCACTTGTTATACAACGAACTAAGAAAGATATTCCCGTCATGACTCAACACAAAGAATACGTCGCAACAAAAAAAAGGTTGACACAAACTCTTTCACGTAACAGGATTCTGTGTTTGTGCAGCTACAATGCGTCGCAATATCAAGAAGAATAAATAAAACCATTGGTCTTAAGACGCTTTTATTGAAGAAGCAGTCGTATAGGAAACTCTCAATACATAACACGGGGGGAATAGAAGAAAGAAACCCATAGTGTAACTTAATGTACGACTACGTACACAGGTGATGGGTGTAAGAATCTCCTAACTTAACCAGGAATTCACCAGAATCGTGACTACATAGGAAACTAGTTACACTGAAAGTTAACTGAGGTTTAAGGGCTAGACAAACATCCCGAAAAATGGAAGCAAAGGTGTCGACCTTCCTCGCCCTCGGCGTCGTCCTACTTCAAGGTGAGTGCCGTGCACGGAGTTGTATGGAAGAGCATCTGGTTGATAAAAATGAACATCAGGAAAGGAGTGAAGCGAGAATCATTTTAATTCCGGTTATGTGATATTTCTAGTTAAGAGATTTAAAGTCCCATTATAACGCAGATAACGGTTACATGCCTAGTAACAAGTAACATTTGTATTGATAGAGATGTTACTGACGCACTTGTATTGCAAAAGTGAATTATGTAACCCCTACGCTAAACAGACGTGATGCCTATTAATGAGACAATATTGAGAGGACAAGAAACCTGAAGCAGTATTATACATCAGAATGCTAAAACACAACATGGCCCACCAGATATTGCACCACAATCCTTGCCATAAACTTGGCCAAATTTCACATTATGGGGATAATTTATACCTCATAACTCTGTAATTTGTAGCTTAGCGGTGACGGGTGTTTGTTATTACTAGCCAGAGCAGGGTTAGAAGAGGTCCAGAGGGTCTCTTATTATGTGAAGTACACTATATATGGGGGGGGGGGGGGGGGTATGAAGTAAGAGTAACGTCTTAACAGTTAGCTGAGAAAGGTCTAACACTGATTACCTCCACTTGCACAGCAGTCTATTGGCAGTAAAAAGATGTCTGGAACCGCTCAAATTTACCAATGAATTAATATTACAAACAGGCTCGAAATACAGACACCGCTGTATACGTAAAGGTTGGACAACGCGTTACACGACGTATTCTGAAGAATTATAAAACATAAACAAAGACATTACGTGAAATCACCGAAAATGCTTGTGAATTTTTATATGCCCCCCCCCCCTCCGACAAAGAGGAGCATGCTATACTTAGATATACGGGAGGGTTTTACTATCTTTTCTTTAAGGTTTCAAAAATACAGTCATAACGAAAACTAACGACGAAACGTTGAAATTAGTTAATGAATCTGATGTAAACGGCTACATGTCGTTGGAGCTACAGGTTTGAATAGTCCGATTGTGCTTCATGTACTACAAAGCAACAGTAGTATACGTGCTTTTGATAATATTTCTGTCGACTTCACTGCACTTGAAAGAATATATTAGCATGTAAATGCATAATGTTAAAAGGTCGAATTCTTATTAAACCCGTTTAAGCAGGTACAATGTATATAATGCTACAGATTACACGCGCTTTTTGGAGGCTTTCTTGTCGTGTTCAGCACTAAGCCCGTTTTTGTTTGGGTTAGTGTGACTCAAATTGTCATAAAGATTATAATAATAATAATAATATATTTACTACTACCTCTCTGTTAGTCTGTTTAATATGCATAAAATATATAGGAAAACGCGTCTTGGAAATATATTAAATTTCCGTCTACTTACACCCATTTGAAAAGAAAGTCTTAAGTGGCAAATGTAACGTGTATTCCATTACGTCTCTATGTCAAGTTAAAGGTAAATCTAATACCCTCCCGACAAAAATTTAATTTCACTCTTTATTTTAATCTCCCGAGCAAATAACGCACTTGACTTGCAAAATGTTTGTTTTGCGATTACGTATATTTTCGATTGTGCAGTGAACTTGATAAAGACATTTTATGTAATTCTAGTGAAATGTACACAGTGATTGCGTACTGTAACCAAGTATTTTAACAAAGGTTTTATTTGTGTTTCTTCATTGTCGAAGGAGTCGGCGGTTCAAGTGACATTACCATGTGACACTGTAGGAATGTTACAAGACTGTAAATCTATAAAATTCCTATTTGGGATCCTGTTGTATTTTGGGCCAATTTTCTAAAGGACCCTACAGGAAATTGTAGAAAGGGCATCGTGATCTATAGCTATGACATAATCGGTCGGGTTGATAAGACGACGACATCATATTTTTCCACGACACCTCAGTATTTTCAAAACGCCATTAATTTGTACAGCCCTATTTGTACGTACCTGAATGACAAGGAGTCTGGACATGATTAGATCACCCCCCTGTCTTTCAAAATCAGAGTGGCTCCCGTGTCAAACCCCCCCCCCCCCAAACATACACACTCTCCCAGACATTATGATCCGCCCATAGCTTCTGAGCTGTAAACACACAGAACCTTGTGAAAAGTTGCTAATGTCTACCCCCCCCCCCCCCACCTCTTCCCCCCGCTTTCGGTTTCTGAAAAAAATCTCACCAATATTCCCTTCTTGAAATTATACTTTTGAATAGCTGAATCATGGTTCTCAACCGTACCAAATGGCACCGTTTGCCCTCCTAACAAAATTAGCCCTTCAGCGGGCTCCGAACCCCACGCCAAGAAGGGCGAGGGTCGGCTTCGCACCCAGGGCCTCTCATTTGTAAAAAAAAACCCGGACCCTCCGCTTTCAAATATTCCTGAATCCGCCCCTTATACTTTCTTTATAAATTTCACTTCAGCTAGCGCGTTGTGCCTGGGAAAGTCCATGGAAGCCCAGCTATCAGAGGATCTCCTGTCTAACTACAGCGCCACGGCCAGACCAGTGACGAACGCTTCACATCCCGTCCTGCTGCGGGTTGGGTTTGCCTTGAACCAAATCATTGACCTGGTGAGACGCAGTTGCCAATTTCTAATTTATACATGTATCTCATATTTAAATTACCTGCGTAAATAATTTTATATTATTATTATGAAAACTTATAGTCATGTTAGTGGTGAACAATACGAGTTTAAAGACTCAACACTTCTGTTTTTCTAAACTTCAAAAATTCCCTGGCACAATGTAAATTATTACTCAAATAATTTCAGGATGAAAAAAATCAAGTCATGCTAAGCAGCGTGTGGTTAAGGCTTGTAAGTATAGATTTCAAGTTGAACATTGAAAACAAATAAAGCTAAAAAAAATAAAAAAAAGAATCCTCTGAATTCAAAAAGATGGTCACGTGTAACTCACACCACTGAAAATGTAGCAGTTCTTCCTTAAATGGTAAAAACGACGACAAAGTTAATATGACAATAGAGGTCTATCGATATAATTACACCGTTCGAGTAATTAATAAATGAATTTAAATTCAAATTTCTTTAGCTTTGGACAGATGAGTTTCTCCAGTGGAACGCGAGCGATTACCAGGGATTATCGGAAATACGGATTTCTACTGCCGAAATATGGATGCCAGATCTTACGCTTTACAACGAGTAAGTTTTTGAAAAAAAAAACTAAAACATTATTGAATAAAAGGATGAGTTTGAGTTTTATTTAGGAATAATTCAGTGTTGTTGTAAAAAGAAACTATGGCAAATAAAGACTATCGTTCATAAATGATATTAAGAGTCCATTCAAAACAGTGGACTAACAGATCCACGGATCAAATATGGCCGATCCACTTGAATGTCTGTTGCATAATCCCTGCGGGGATTCTCATTAATGTTTAATCGGGAGGCACGGGGGGGGAGAGCAATCTTATCCGTGAGAGATCAGGTGAAGTTATGTCGGTCTACTCTATCTTCATTATTCTCCAGCGTCCGCGAAGAGGAGCGAGGTCTGGACCAATACAAAGTCACCGTGTATCCAAATGGCGCCGTCTACTGGTTAACGCCTAACATTCTGAAAACCTATTGTAAGCTGGACGTCACCTATTTCCCCTACGACCAACAAGTTTGTCCTTTCAAGTTCGGTTCGTGGAGCTATCACGGATTCCAACTGGATGTGACAAATCGGTCCGCCTCCGGCGACACGTCAAGTTTCGTTGACAACGGTGAATGGGAACTCGTGGACATCCCAGTGCGACGCCATGTTGTCATGTACGGGTGCTGCCCAGAGCCATACCCGGATGTTACCTTCTACATCGTTATAAAGAGGCGGTCTCTGTATTATATCTTCAACATAGTGCTTCCCTGTGTGCTGATTAGTTCTATAGCTCTGGTTGTGTTTTACTTGCCCCCGGAGTCCGGCGAGAAGATTGCCCTGGTGATAACAGTTCTTCTCGCGCTCACGGTCTTCATGCTGTTGATAGCAGAGATCATGCCGCCCCAGTCAGAAGTGGTGCCGTTGATAGGTGAGATTTCGTTCCGAAATTTTGAATGATATTTTGTGTTATTTATTTATTTATTTATTTATTTATTTATTTATTTATTTATTTATTAACCTTTGCAGTCTGGGCGTCCCTCTAATTCATAAACAGACTCAAGTGTATGTTTATACTGTATCTGTTGAAAGAATTTTAATTCGACTACTGTATTGTACGTAATTACACCTGTTTTGATAAAATTGCAAACCTATTTGTGTGAACATGTTTATGGAAACCTTGTTCTGAAGAAATAAGCTATATGTAACCAAAAGGTGCAAAATTTATTTTGCCGAAATCTATGACATTGAAATACCGGGTGCAAATTTGTCGATGGCAGTTGGGTCTTATAAGTTTTTAAAGGCACAGATTACAGCACATATTATTTTTTATTTTCTTGCATATAGACCAAGTTACTATTATAAACATATATCAATTCTTTCAGGTCAGTACTTTATTGGTGCCATTGTATTGCTGTCTTTATCTACGGCCTTGACCGTGTACGTCATGACCCTATACCACAGTGGCAACCATGCCAGACCAGTACCGGGATGGCTGAGAAAGGTGGCCTTCCGCTGGCTGGCAACCATATTATGCATGAGAGCGACGGTGAAAAGAAAAGCACGGGTAAGTGAACTGAAATTGACAAATAATTTTTGTTTATGTAGTTGGTATGGCATTTTTAAGAAAGACTCTTCATTTAGATTCCAAGCATTTTGTGGAAGTGGAAATGTTGTGCATGGGTAGAAAAGCACAACCTTTTTCTGCTGCACATGCACATTTAAATCTACCTTTAAATGCATGTCATTTTGTTTGTTTGTTTTTTTTTAATCTATACTGATATTTTGTTTATGTTTGTAACAAATAGGTTCACCCGGCGATAAGTGAGAAAAAGGATCAGCCGCAGCACAACGACAAGGAGACAAGCGACACAAAGCAGACCTCTGTCTGGACCACTAGTAACAATGCAAACGACCATAGCCAGACGACGCCTTTTTCAAATACACGGGATGAAAAACTCACTGACGACAATGTCACACAAACGAAAGGAGACGCCGAGGAAACAAACACGCTTCTGAGGAAAATTTTACATCATTTCAGTGCCTTGGTGACCTCCATGGCCGATCATAAAGCACACGAAAGCATTGAGACGGAATGGCATATTGTTGCAAAAATTATTGACAGGCTTTTATTGGTACTATTTTTCACCATGACTGTGACGCTGAACCTGTTTTTCTTGTGTTTCCGTCCCAGTTACGAGTATTCTGTAGACTGAGTGGAGAGTGCTAAACCAGCTAGCGTATGTTTGAAGTTTTATCGACTGATTTAGTAATGAAAAATGCTTCTAGACGACAAGACAAGAATTGTCATACAAAATAACCACATTTATCGTTATTAGCTGCTCCATGTTTCTAAAGCGCTATGAGTTGTAATGTAGCAATCAATATTGAAAAGTTCGCAATGTGTTTAATCAAAACGAAACATGCACGACGTAGAGCTCTGTATCAAAAAAGAAAACATGCTGAGTGGTTTTAACAACAGTCAGGAACGTGAGTACATGATTACCTTCATCCTGGTAAGGTGGTTCCAGTCGTAATCTAGCACTTCAATCTCGCCCAGTGATCCATCAACTTATTCAAATAATTTTTAAAGCGGTGGAGAATAAAAGTCAGTCGATTTTTTAAATCAAATGTGGGAGTTAGTTTTTCTTTAACGTTGAAAATCCATTTTTGGCAGACAGGCTAATGAAAATTGTCTGTTGGATTGTTTTCATAAGTAATATATTTGTCTAGATCACAAGGGATTATCGGAAATACGGATTTTTGTATATTAGTCTAGATTTCTACACTAAATTGTATCGCTGTCTTATATTGTACTTTTCTGTAATGTCTGACGTACATGTAGAATTATGAAATTCTTTTACTAAGGACTGAAAATTTAAACTACCCATTCCATGCAGATGTCTTATATATGACAGTACACGTGTATAACGCCCTCTAGTGATCTATTTGTATGTAATATTTTGAATTTTGAACAATAGCTGCTTTCATCATTATAATTAATTCAAAACAAAAAGAACAAAACAATCTCCCACTACCATACGTACGTTAGGGCTCTACCCTGGTCCTCAGACCAAAGGACCAGATTAGAACCGTAACATAACGTATTCTTTTACTGGGTATTTACAGTTGATTTGCTGAAAAATATTTTTTAAAAATAAAAAATAAATAAATAACCGGAGTGCGCTGAGTGCTGTGTGCAAAATTCACAGCCTTTCGGAAGTATTTTCATCCTCAAAACTATAACAATTTTTCCATAATTTTACCAGTAAATTAAAATAGTATCTCAGGGATCATTTTGGAATATTCTCATTTTTATGGCTGTATATAACGTCGTGTATGTCCATCTTTCAATTAAACAGCAGGTCCCAGTTTAAGGAAAATCCCTGCTTTACACTACTAAAATAGTGAAGAGGAAAAAAAAAAGTTGAAAGCAAATCCAGCACTCTCTACTTGCTATCTTGACCCTGCCTCCGATATTTATTTTATTTTTATTTTTTAATTCTTTTATTCCATCCTCAGGGGGGAAAAATTTAAAATAGTACACACTTCAAATCGAACACATAATTCCCATAGTAAAATCATATAATGAAATCGCTCGAATATATGTGATAAAATCATTCTATAAATGTGTTCAGGTTAAAATATAGGACAGAGAAGTATTAAAATGGAATAAAATTTAAAAAGCTTTCTTCTTTTTTTTAAATAATGCATGCATGGGGGAATGTTGTAAAAATTGTAAGTCTGAATGGCTTATTCCACCCTCTCTCTACTTTCGGGTATATTTGGGGTTTATTATACTGCCATAGCATATGATTGTGAAATAACCTCCGGCACCAAGGCACGTGGAGTTAACAGTGGTACTGATAAGAATTTCGCTACTGTACAATGTATATTGCATATGTGCTACTGGTATATGTTTACCTGATAATAAGGTCACGCTTAGACTGGGTAGATTATAATTTACCCTCTCTATATATAAAACCTGATGGCAACAAGCAGAAAATTCAGCACCAGGCATTTGACATCTAACTTCAACTGCCCTTGTTTCAGGCCGGTAACCAAGCCGAACCCCTCCCCCCTTTTTGGCGGGAAAAAATCTCCTCTGCGTAAAATTTCTCTAGGTACACAAAGGTTTCATGGTAAAAGGTCCACTACAGATATTTCAGAAAAAAAAACCTTTTGAAATTGCTGGCTACGGGCCTGTGTATAGTAGCACGAAGGCAATCACAATGACACGGACTTTTAGGAGGCAACTCGTGATTATCATGTGACCGCACATACTCTATATACATTGGGGGTATTTATAGAAACCGCGCTATAGAGAGAGTAAGGTGAAGGAAACGATGACAATCATGAAGGCGAACTGTATTTTTACTTCCCTGTTCGTTCTTTTACTTGGCTGTGAGTCTTTAGGTAGAATACCTGAGAGAGTTCGTTATGACGGGTGAGTGAACACAAGCTAGCTCCGATGATTTTATTTATTGAGATTACCAAGTTTTAAACTAAAGGGACCATTCCCAGACCCTATCGTACTAACTGTGGATCGATCTACCTCCCAGGGGGTTCTCGCTAAATTGCAATCAACTTCAGTGGCTTAGATGACTGTCACGTCTACTGAAGTTGCTAGGGGTAATTAATTATCGTTTAGCAGCTACAGTAGGCGATTTAGCGAGAAACCCCTTGGTGATGGATCGATCCTGTTGTATCGATCTATGTAGGTATGGTAACCCAGTGAAAGATTCAACATAATTTCAACGCACATGAACAAACTCACAGACAACCAAAGTCATGTCACCCGCTTACAGAGTAGCAAACAGTCGGAGAAAGTCACACTATTTATCTGGGATCTCAATTTCATTATGTTGAATTTTAAAGGGTGTTTGATACACGACATATCTGAATAATGTACTGAAATAAAATGTCTGCTTCAGCCACCAAGTGATTCGAGTGACACCACACACTGATGAACAAGTGCGCGCTCTACGGCTACTGAAAGATAACGTTTTTGTCAACAAAGTGAGTAGAAGGACCCTTTATACACATGATGCATTTATCTTATCAAACATAAATCAAAGAGCCCTTTATCAATAAAAGACAGCTGATGCACACATATTGAAATATTACAGACCTGAAATACATCTACCAGTACTTGCACTTTCTATTTCAGCCTCATGTGTTTTCTTTATGTGTTTACTTTTGCTTATCCTTCCTAGATTTCCCACACGCTTGTGATCCGTGATTTGCTTTGTTTAAGTTTGAGTAAGGCCACACTTTTTTATTTTTATGGATGACATCCTCTGGGTACCCCAAAATCGGTGCGAGAGGGCGAAAAAAAAAAACAGTCTAAAAAAAAACCACTTAAGTAAAGGAATGTTGTCAGTACACAGCTGGAAACACAAATTTAACCACAGAAACACGTATCAAACTAACAATATGTCTTTATCCATGCTCTCAAAATATTAAAGCATTGTGAATACTTCGTAGAAATGTAAAAAAAAGTCATGAATTGATATACTTCATATTACCAAATCTATTTAAGGTTATTTCATGCATTCATTTGGTATAGCAATCAATAAAACAAATATCAATCAAACAGTGTGTCTTTATTTGTATTCTCAGAATATTAAAGCATTTTGAACACTTCACAGAAATGTTTTAAAAATGATGCAAAGATATGCTTAATACTACCAAATCTATTAAAGGTCATTTCGGACGATGCCATTTTGTCAACTTCAACTCACACGAAGCAGCTAAACTGTCAGGTGGCCTGTCCGACCTTCAGCCCACCAAATACCTCGACGCCCTTGTCGACCCTTTTTTCGCTACAGAAAACCTGGTATTTATGTGCTGCTTTGTACAGAATGTCACAGAAATGTTTCGGCCGCCGCCAGCCTTTCGCACAATTGTAAAAAGGTGATATCTCCATGGCCAATATCAATGGCATACGATGGCACCCGTTCTCTTTATGACTTTTATTGTTTTGTAATTTGAAAGTAATCCTAGAGATGAATTTGACAGCAAAGTGGCCGCATTTCCACGTGGCGAAAATACGCATGCGCAGAAAGCTCATTTCCTTGCAAATTCAATAACGACGTTTGCGACAACCGACTTCGTTGGGGGCTGGGGGGGGGCTTTTTTTTTTTTTTTTTTTTGGAGAACGGGCGAAAATCCGTGCGCGCGCAGGATGTCATCCATAAAATTAAAAAAGTGTGGCCTAAATAAAATTCAGCCAGCGGCCTTGCTGCTGTCCCTAGCATGTGATCCATAATCCCTCATGTTCTGAATATACTGTAATTTAAGCAATGATTTTCTGATTATTTGTGCACACGGTGTGTCTCATACTGGTTGCTCTTCTTTAAAACCAGTGTCAAAGGTCAGAGAACAATTTCATCAGTTGTGTTATGTTATAAGAATGAAGTAATTTTTCTTCAATCAACAGCTTAATATTGAAATAGTTTTTACCTCCAATATTTCGATGTCTAACAGAAATATTGGAGGTGAAAACTATTTCAATATTAAGCTGTTGACTGAAGAAAAATTACTTCATTTTTAGTGTCAAAGGCACTCTGAATCTTTTATTCTCATAATGTAGGTTGATTTCTGGCGACCTCCAACAGGAGTCAATAGAGCAGTGGACATTCAGATACCACCTGACTACATTAAGGTCCTAAAGGGGGCGCTGAATGCACTTGACTTTAAGCCAGAGGTCATCATAAAGGACCTGCAGGCTAAGATAGAAGATGAGCTCTTGTACAATTTGAAACAAAATGCTACTGATGAGTTTGACTACGGAAAATACCACTCACTGGATGAAGTAAGTTGTTCAGTGCTTTAAGGCACCCAACTCAATTAAACAAAACGAGGCGCGACTTCTAAAAATTCCAGTTTTTGACACAAAGAACATTTGTCAATCTTTTGCGATATATTTGTTTAGTATTTAAGATATTGAAGAGCACCTTCAGCGTCTTAATCATTATTACATTCACCGTTTTCTTATTGATATGGGCTAATATGTTTCAATACAACAACAATGGGATCTATGGTGGGTTTTAACGGTTTTCCTCAAATAAAAGCTATTGGTCTTTGCTTCATAAGGCTAAACCTTGGTTTAAAAGCCTTAATACTCACATTCGATCCCATTATTGTTATATTACCCACGTTCAGTCCGTCGTGATTTGTTAGGTAGAGGAATGGCTGAAATCTCTTCAAGAGACGTACCCGAAGCTGGTTACTCTCATACCGCTAGGGAAATCATTCGAAGGGAGAATGATAAACGCTATTAAGGTATGCTTCATACAACTGACGGGATTTGAAAACTGGAATTAGACGCTTGGAAATGGATTCAGTTTTAAGATGAAAAGACATCATTCTTTTTTGTCGGACTACTTTGTTCTCGCTATCCGTCCCCAAGAAATGATTTGTTTAAATTAATGTGACAAGCAGTAGGTAAACCCAGAAAGTGATCTATGTGTTTTGATTTTTTTTTTTTTCATATTTTTTTTTCAACTTACACGGCCTTTCCGTGTCTGTTCAGATAAGCAGTGAGCATTCTACAGGGAAATTGTCCTTTTGGATGGACGGCGGGATACACGCACGAGAGTGGATTTCTCCAGCCACGGTCATCTACATGACAGGACAGGTGAGGAGAACGCTCTCTGGGCTTTTAGCAGGCCTTATAAACAGATTAGGCGTTTACTAGCACTACCCGCAGATTTTTAAGCACAAACATCTATATTAACCACCTAACCCACAAATTAACCAGCACTACCAGAGCAGATGAATGTTAGTGCTAGGTATCGCTTTGTTGGTGCTACATGTAAATAATTGTGTGGTGTGTTGGTTAATTCGTGGGTTTGGTGGTTAATATGGGTGTTTGTGCTAAAAGACCCTTTTATAAGGCCTGTAATGGATCAGTCTTAATTTATGTCTCCCTCCCCCCTTCCAAGTCAGAAGTAGGGGCTGCAATCAACAGTTATTTCTGGAAATCTGTTTTGGCGTGTGCGCGACTGGCACAACTTCTTCAACCAACACATAGATACAATAGTGGTTAAAATAATTAACAATTAAATTGTAATCAAATTTATTTTAGAAACTATCACATCAGTCTATGTTGTTCAAACAACTGGGGTTATTAACTGATCTTTAACTAAAATTAAAAATATAAACTTGATGCTCACACAGTGATGGTGAAGAAATGTTCTTTTATTTCTTAATATCTTTACTACAGCTATTGTCTCAGTATGGGAGCGACCCTGACGTCACGGAGCTGGTGAACGTCATTGACTGGTACCTACTCCCTGTATTTAATGTGGATGGATACGTCTACACGTGGGAGAAGGTAAGAATAACTGGAAGTATTTAATGTGGATGGATATGTCTACACGTGGGAGAAGGTGAGAATAACTGGACGTGAACCGAGTCTCTTGTTGTGTACCTTCACTCCTTCTATACCAGGTAGATTTAATTTTTGGTGATTTCACCTGACGCGCAGTCAAGCAGGCCCCAAGATCTGTAAATTGTAGATATACTTTTCACAACGCGACTTGTGAGACGTGAAAACTTATAATACATGTAAAAATCAAAATAAGTTAATACTAAATTTTAATTAAATGAAATGAAAATAAAAGGATATTTGGGTCAACAGCGAATTCTTTAATTGGTACATTATATACCATTACAAAATGATTAATGTAAAGTACCCTTAAGCACCAAGGCAGATATTATCTGCACGTGAAGTTAACAGTGGCACTGATAAGAACTTCGTTACTGTACGATATATATGCATGTAGTACATGCACGTATAATGTATACCTGCTAATAAGGCCACGCTTAGAGTGTTTCAGGTTTGAAATAAACAGTTTTAAAAAGGAGGTGGGGGGGTGGGTTCTAAGTGACCCAACTTCTGTCATTACATAAACCTTATGACATAGAAAATGCGTGGGAATCATACCCGTCTCAACTAATGCAATCTTCCATCTGTATACGTTGCTTAAAAAAACACAATGATGTTTTAGTTTATTGCTGATGGCGACCTTCTCATTTGTCATTCTGTATGACATGTTAAACTTAATGAGATGTTCATAAGAACCTGTTTGGGTTACAAGATGCAATTGCCTGGTAACGTATTCATAATCTGCAAGGCTGAGACTAAGAAGAGATTGGAAAAGCTGTGACTAGAATAAACTGCACTGTGCATATTCTAGCACAAAAATCAAATATCTGCACATGAGATGAAAGCGTGCTTTTTGATATAAAACAATATTGCCAAATTAACAAAGCCTATCGTCTGATTAATTTCATGTAATTTGACTTCTGGTGTCGTTCGAAAAAAAAACATTAAAAAAATTTCGCTGAATGTACATGTATGAGATATTTATTACCTAAATTTGATATTTTGGTCTCAGACGCTCCAAAATTGTCTTCGTGATCTCCTTTGCATAACGAAACTCGAAGTTTTGTTCTTGTGCTGCATACATAGTCTATATCAGGCAGAAGCACTCGAAAAAAAGGTACATGTTGCTTTTTTCCATTTTTTTAAATTTTGTTTTCAATACAATTTTAATCAAAACTTTCTTTTCAACCACCAGGATCGCATGTGGCGTAAGACTCGTTCTACTCATCCGGGCACCTCATGTGTGGGTGTGGATCCAAACAGGAACTGGGACTGGCACTGGTGTGGTAAGTTATGTCATGATGACGTAAGCATGCTGAAAGGAAATAAGTGTACTCGGGGTGGTGGGAAGCTTCCTTTGAATATCGCCTCTTCTCTCCCCCTAACCCTTACATTAACGTCTACGATGTGGTCAATTTATACTCTGGATTTTTTATGGAAAAGACAATTATTTTGTATCGAATTAATTAGATTGCCCATGGTGTAGGGGCCCTAATGTATATGTCTGTAACATTTTCGTTTAGTTATGCTAATTTGAGTAGTTACTAATGGGTTTGTTTCTGTTTTCTTTCAGAGGCCGGCGCCAGTAGAAACCCGTGCTCAGACTCCTACTGCGGACCGAAAGCCTTTTCGGAAGTGGAACTCCAGCACGTGACCAACTTCCTTGCGGCTCACAATGACACGTTGAAGTGTTACATCAATTTCCATAGTTACAGCGAGCTGTGGATGACGCCCTGGGGTTACACGCATACCCTCCCGCCAGATTACCAGCTTCAAGTAAAACAATTGAGATCCGTGATTTTAGTGTGAAAATTACATTGCAGAATGTTAATAGTTTGCCTCAGTGGCGGATTTGGGGGAGTGGGGGGTATGTGGGGTCCTGACCTCCTCCCTCTCTTCGATTCCTGATTAAAAACGCACCCAAAAACGTCTACTTGCATTATCGTTCTTAACCGTACCAAATGGCGCCATTTGCCCTCCAAACCACCAATTTTTTTTCGGGGCCCTCGAGTGAGCTCCGAACCAGAAGCCAAGGGAGTGAGGGTCGGAATCGCATTTTGATACCTGCCAATCCCCCTTGCAATAAATTCTGGATCCGCCCCGGTGCCTCTTATTAATTTTAAAACTAAGATGTTTTGCATGGACTCTTTGTAGATCAAAATTATATGACTTCTCTTTGTCACACCTAGATGCCCTCTCAAGTACTTTTTGTCAACGTACACGTACTGGTAACTGGTCTAAAATCGCTTGTTCCCAATTTCCTTTAAATTCATATGGGTCTATACCGAGTGGAAAGCTGGTTTTAAAATATACCTTTTAGCTGACATAGATATGAACAGGATACAAATGCTTTTAATTATTATTATCATAACCTATTTTATAAACATCGAAAATATCGCCTACGAAGGTCACCTTGCACTCCATAAACTATACGATTTCTGATTCACTGAGTAATATGTTAAGTTTTTTCACACGTGTATACTCTCCTTGTCTTTCAGAACAAAGTCGCTGCTGCTGCGGTTGAAGCCCTGGCCAGCATTAATGGAGTAAAATATGAACACGGCAGCATTGCCAATATTATATGTAAGTTTTTTATTTAAACATAAAACTTTATTTGAGTATTCATTGAGTCTAATTAAAATACATTACAAATAATTTAACTATTAAAATTAGTTTGTAAGACAAACATCAAATTTCAGTTTGTATGCAGGGATGTTATAAATTGTATTTAAATCCTTATGTTTGTGCCAACAGATTAAATTAGTGGAAATTAAAATTAACCTTTGTTGAATACCTGTTTTGGGATAATTTTTACTTTGATAAAACCTGAAATCTGGTACGTAGTTCTTTATTTCGCCTCTATATGAAACTGATGAATAAAATGATTTTATAAGTTTGAGTTTTGAAAAACATTGTTTGCGCATGCTGTTTTCGGAATATTGTCTATTTTATAGTATAAACAGCAACCAAATAAATAAATATTTTTTTCATTTACTTTTATCTCTTTCCAATAGATCCAGCAAGTGGAAGTAGCGCCGACTGGACATACGGGGATTTAGGGATCAAACTCTCGTACGGCGTGGAATTGCGAGACAAGGGAAGACATGGCTTCATCTTACCCACTGACCAAATAATTCCATCTGGAAAAGAGACATTTGCCGCGGTCAAATCTATTGGAAAGTTTATTATTAATAACCCAGTTTGATTTATGATATTTGTGCTATATCGTGTGAATAAAAAACGAAAGGAAGTTTGGATTTTCATTGATAATTCTTTTAAAAAATCATATGAAGTACCAGTAGGCCTATAGTATGAAATTTCCTTTTTACGCAACTCTTGGCTAAAACAGACACCTTTGGTATGCCTTCAACTTTTGAACAGTTTATTGTAAGGATTCTTGAAAGATTCTTGATGAAATCCGACATGGCTCAAAATGCTTTATGTTTAGTTATGCTTGTTTCGTTTGTTGTAACATTTTACCTATTTTATTCAAGATCAGGCTATGCAATGATTTTTTTTTTTTTTTTTTGTTAACTTCCCTTTCAACCAAAACACCCAATGGAAATACACCATAATGATAGACATTCCACTTACGTTGAGGACATGCAGTTTCACTACCTCCGCGTGCACTTGTACCCTCTTAGTGATTGTAAGTGCCAATTAACTTGACAGTGACATATCGATACAGGCACATGTTTCAGTGTACATTTTCATTTTTTTTCTTTTTTTTTTCTTTTTTCTTTTTGTCAACAGTATTATTACATGTTACGCGGTGCTTGTTATTCTTCATGTTGGTATCATATTTTAAGCAGCATCATGGTGTAGTGATTTTAAAAAATAGATTGTCAAATAAAACATGAATATTCAAATATAATTATCATTAAAAATAAATTATTATTATTATTACTATTATTATTTTGTCCTTGGGGAGTAAATCCATATAACTTTTACTCCCTCTTTCAGTGAATATAGCACGACAAACTGCAATCATCAGGGGATTGTTGTGAACTGGAGCGTGTTTCGAAAATAACCTTGCTCAAAATTATTTTCATCAATAAACGATATGCTAGGTATCGCCAAACGTTTTTTGCATCTAAAAATAAATAAGATAAATACTAAAATTCCACAAAATTTCTGGCAAGAGTTTCGTCCAGTGACCACAGGCCTACTCAACTACCAGACTCGGCACCTACGGATCCAGAATAAACCGGTATATCAGACCACACTACCCGTTTTCAAGGTGTGTGTCAGATCGCATTACAGAGTACCATACCCCATCACAAATTTTGTAGGCCTACCTGTCATCCACCACACCGATTTTGCCTGGTGCGCTATGTGATAGCCATGATCGTAGTAATAGATAGACCCCGAGTCAGCGAGGGTTATGTGGCATACACGAGTGCGAAGCACGAGTGGATGTCACATAATCCTCGCTGAGGAGGGATCTATCTTATTTTGTCCACGGGTCCATTAGCGAGTTATAACGCATTCATGCGAGACGTGCAGTTATGCGAGTTACACCACGTCTGAATCTTTTGTTCTTCACTTCCACCGTGGTCTAAAGCGGGGTTGGAAAGTAGTGCATCTCATCTAGATTCATGCGCTGCTGCAATTTGCCCTGTTTATGCTAAAAATCTGACAATACCGCAATTTTTTAACATAAAATTTAGGTTCGAACATAGCCAATGATGTTTTGTAAATAAGAACTTGCAAACTTATATATTAATTTAGAAAAGTATACCTAATTTTGATAGCGGAAGCATATTCTGTCGGGGGTTAAATAAAATTATGCGATTTTTTCACCGACTTCCGTCTGTCGTCATGTTGTTGTATTCATACGACTCCTACTTGACGAAAACGAGGCGCGATACACGGATGACAGGTAGGCCTACAGAATTTGTGATGGGGTATGATACTCTGTAATGCGATCTGACACACACCTTGAAAACGGGTAGTGTGGTCTGATATACCGGTTTATTCTGGATCCGTAGGTGCCGAGTCTGGTAGTTGGGTAGGCCTGGACCAGTTTTGCCCTTGTCCCTGGCACTCTTTAACGGCCCCTTTACACTGGATGGCGTCCTTTCTGCGTCCAGCGGTACGGCCCCATTTGAGAGTTAAAAAATTATAATACTTTATGTGCCGACAACTGGCCGATCATTGAGCATTCATTCTGATACAAAATCAATGCTTGTGCCTACTTATTAAGACCACAGCGATGCCAAATTTCATGGTCGCAGAAAGGACGCAGAAAGGACGCCGTCCAGTGTAAAGGGGGTATAAGAATATCTTTTTCTGTCATGTGCGCCATGGACGTCTACCGCACAAATAAATTTTTCTCAAACTAGGATATCGGATATAATTCCCTGCTCTTATACAAATTTGACTAACTGAACAGTTAAATTTCTTTCATATTTAAATTGATCACGTCCAGGGTATGGTAAAATCAAAAACATAAGCTTTTATTTGTTTATGTATTTATTAAGCGCAGGCTGATATAAGCTTATTTCGCCTACAAGTGGTTGAATTGTAAAATAACGTTGAATTGCTAATAGTAATGCTGCATTTATATGAATAAAAATATTGATAAGGAACAAAATAAAATAAAATAAAATAAAACAAAGTAAAAGAAAATAAAATAAAGCAATAATTGTTATAAATGAGCGAGAAATCTGGAATCAACCCAAGCATTCTTGTACAATATGTAGTATACTTATTTCACTTACAGGTAGGAATTCTCGACAAAAAAATTCCCCATGCCTAAGGTGTGTATGATTTATCGAGCTGCAAGGCGAAATCGATAAGGTGACCTGATTTCGGTATTGTATTCAGGAGACATTGAATGCCTGCGCCATAACGCACCAGCAAATCCTTTCAACATTCACAGCGTTTGTGTAAAGAATAAAAAAATCCGCAAGGGACTACTTCTTTTATTGTGCATGTATAGTCCCATTGTCCCGTACGGCCGCACAGCGTACAGCTACAGGGGCTGAGCTGAAGGAGACAGCGTCTGTTGGGTAGCGGTCAGCCAGTGGTCGCTTCTCTCTCAACAAAACGTCGTCTGCAGAAGATCAGTGTCACCGGGCGTTCGTGACAGGTAAGGTAGAGACGTAAAGGTATGGCTGAAACACGCCCTGGTATGATTTTCGTGTTAACCGGAGCTTGAGCTAGTCTTAAATCCGGTTGAATGGCAGCAGGTAAAGGTATAACTCTGCCACAGAAGATGATAACGTATTAACCCAATCTCTCTCTCTCTTTCTCTCTCTCTCTCTCTCTCTCTCTACACACACACACACACACACACACACACTCTCTCTCTCTCTCTCTCTCTCTCTCTCTCTCTCTCTCTCTCTCTCTCTCTCTCTCACACACACACACACACACACTCTCTCTCTCTCTCTCTCA